CCCCAAAACCCCAAAACCCCAAAACCCCAAAACCCCAAAACCCCGGGATAAGAATTTAAAGTTGGTGAACTTGTAGATAATAATTAATTATACAACAATATGCTATTCCAATACGAGAAAGACAACATCATTAGTTGTGAACAAGCCACACGGCAGGAAGAGAATGCCATTCTCAAGAAAAAAGCTGGCCTTGATACTAAACCTCCAAGTCTGAGCTTGAACTCTTTCTGAATGGAGATGATGACTTCTGTGACTCCTTCACCCTACTCCATTAAGCCTGATCTTCAACACAATATTCAGAGCAATGCAGGAACTCCAGAAGTGTTCCCTCTATTTGGGATGAGTCCATTCCCTATCCCAACCCCATTGACTTCAGATAAGTCAAGAACGGACCCCTACCAAAATTATGGACCAATAGAACCCAACTCTGCTCTAAGCTTTTCTCCATTTCCAACTCCACCTACCACCAACAATCCCCAAATATTCTTTCCTTCTCACTCTCAGTCACTCCCTTCTGCCCCCAAGAGCAAGTTCAGCACCCAGATTACCAAAAAGTCAATCGCTAAGAAGAGGAGGAGTAGGAAGAAATGCAGAGGAATTTACTGCACTTGTGACCTCTCCGAATCTTCCACTGATCTTGCTAATTACATGTTCAAGAAGAGCAACCTCAAGTTTGTTACAGAGCTGCAGTCCTTCCATTATGAGATTTGTGAGAAGCACACAGAGGTGACTAAGAAAAGAACCTTCGAGTTTGTATGCAAGTTCAATGGTGATTGTAATATGAGGTTCGACAGAAGCTGGAACTTGTTGGACCACTGCAGAATGCATTATGGTATTAAACCATTTCAGTGAGAGGAATGTGGAAGAAGCTTCACACAGAGAGGCAATTTAAACAAGCATAAGCTTACCCATATTTAACTTCTAAAGTTACTCAGGTATAATCGGTCTTCGGGGTCTTTGAACTAGCTATACCAGTGAGGTTGTATGGGGGTTTTAGGGATAAAGAATGGGCCTAGCTCCTTAGGGATAAGGTTAGCATGAATATAGGAGTAGAGGTTAGATTATTTACTCTCCACTTTTTGGGAGTGATATCATGAAGGGGTCGATAGCGCCAAGGCCAGGTAATTTGGGTTGGAATTTCAGTGGGGTTGATTGAAGAAGGTTTAAAGAGGTAGAATTGGGGGTTAATTGGATTATGAGAATTAAAGGAAATTGGAAAGAAGGGTCTTTAGATTAATAGGATTTTTAGAAATTAGTGAAATGATTTTAGGAGTAGGATTTAGATATTTTAGATAAATTCTGGGAGTTTGGAATCAAAGTCTGGACTATATGGGCTAGTTTTATGTTCATATTCCAAAGCAAAGACTAAAATTTGCAATAATAAACTGTTATCTAAAAAATTTCTGCCAGATTCTTAAAATCTGATATATATAGTTTTTATTTTGGTGCAAAGTGTACAGTTAGAAGTAAAGGGAAGAATTGCACTCAGATATTATAACAACCTAGTAATTTCTTTGAAATCACATATTAGATACTTCACTCCTTCTGATTGTTTCATTGAGCATCTCTTGGATTTTTAGTTAATTTAAATAAAAGGCATAACTTATTTTTAAATAGTGATTCAGATGCCTGGCTGAATTCTTGAAAAATAAAAGCTATAAAACTTCACCGTAATAAGTATTGTTAGTGTGTATATTAGATAAAAAAATATCTAACTCGTAATGACAGCTTTTATAGCAAACTAGGAGGAGCAAAATATGTGTTAGTTTAATAGTGTCAGTAGGACTAGAAAGCTCGCGTTTTAGGAGCTGAGACTCTTATCAAGATTTCCATATTATTTAAGTGCTAAATTTTGAGATATCCAACAACTCTTATACAGTAAAACTTGTTGTTCTAAAAGCATGAAGTCCAAATTTTAATTTGCTTCACTTCCAATGACTATTTTAATAACAATAATAACTGAGGGCCGACAAATGATTGAATTAATTACTTGTTTAGGATTCTAGAGTTTCAATGACACGCAAACCTTACTATTGTCTTAGTATCTGCTCTTGAACTCTGTAACCAAAGCCAAACTGTTTAAAAATAAAATCTGACATTTTTTGGCTTAGCAGTACAGCATGATAAAAACTAACAGAATTCCCAACATTCTGGTAGTTCCTCTTATCATATTTTTGGTTAAAAAGTAGAGTGGATAACAACAGTGAAGTGCAAAAAGACTAAAGCTTATTAGAATTAGTGGAGTAATATGCTCTACTAATAATAAGCAAATTTTTTGTTCAGCCAACAAAGGTTTCTATTACTCCAATTCCATTTCCTAAAAGTGTCAATTTAGAACCTCACCGTGGGGTTTTGGGGTTTTGGGGTTTTGGGG